AGCCCAATTTTAGTGGGTACCTTGATCCAAGTTGTCAAATTATCCAGGTCATGACGATAAAGTTTACTTTTACTTTCAATAAAGCCAATTTGAGAAGACATGACCTATGTTTCCCCCACCCTAGCTTTTAAATCCTCTCTAGCTCTTTATTTTATTACAGTGGAACTGAACTCATGGTGAATTCTGGCCTTTCTCCCCTACTGCAATAGCCTTGATTAAAGTCTTCCTCACCTGTTTTACTGTCTGGTGCAATTTTGCTTTACAGTTCTTTTTTTCCTCTCCTTTCCTTCTTGCCCCCTTCCCTTTCACCTACCCTTCCTTCCCTCCTCTTTCCTCCCTTCCTTCTTTCCTTCCTTCCTTCCTTCCTTCCTTCCTTCCTTCCTTCCTTCCTTCCTTTCTTTCCCTCCCTTCCTTCCTTTTTCCATTAACTATTCATTGAGCGCCAAAACTTAGAACAGCACTGGATATGTAAAAAAGAAAAAGGTTGTTACTCTGTGAAGGACACAGTTCAGAAAGATAGATAGAAAACAAGTGAGTAAATAAATAAATAAATAAATGCAAATTGTAGAATGAAAATTTCTTTACAGAAGGAAACCATGTTGGTGGTATAAAAATAGGAAGTATGCCTACTTTGCATAAAATATTTAGGAATTTCAGAATCCTGGCCTGCTTTTCATGTTAAAGCCCATGATATGGGGTCTAGCAGTTTGGTTACATACCTAGCACTAAGTATCTTCTACAGTCATGATCCTAGTTCTTTAAATCTCGTCCTTCTCAACTAATAAAATTAGGATAATACTAATGCTTATTTCATGAAATCATTTGTAGAATAAAATGGCAGACTGAATCTAAAGATCTTAGCATATTGTCTAGTGCAGTAGATAATTGATAATATTAAAGATGACAAAACAATTTGAAAAAATATTTAAGAATAGGAGAAATTTTATAGTATATCTACTATCAGAACATCTAAAAAATAAACTCCTTTTCAATATCTCTTGGAACAGTCTGTGGAATTCTAGTCTAATACTATTCATTTGGGCATTTATTCATATGCTGTACAGAATTATGAGTTAATTGTCTGACACTGATATGTCATGCCTCTCTCATGAACCTGATTTCTTTGAAGGAGATATTGCTGAAGTATGTGCTTTCTATCATTCCACACCACTTGTTAAATAACAAATTTTTAAAATACATTAAAGTTGAAGTAATTTCTGATGACATATGCATTTTATTGGTTTTAATAAAGCATCAGATTAAAAATTGAATCCAAAGGTTCTCATGATCAAAAGTGACTCAACTTGCCTCATAGGAATATTTTATTTTTAACTTGGCACTCTATGTAAATGGGTAGTAAAAGGAGAATTCTCAGACTAGAGAATCAGCAAGTCCTTGAAGCTTGTCATGATTGGCCAGCTAGTCTGTCTTCCTCTAGGACTGGCTTCCTCCAGGACTGACTATATTTTTAGTTCCTAAAGGAAAATAATATTTTGAATCTAATTTTGTGGAATCACAGACCAACATATAAGGCAACTGGAGGAAGGAGTGGAAATGATTAATCTGCTTTGTAATTTCTGTCAGCCTCAATCAAGCTACTTCACTAGATATATCATCCTTGTAAAAGCATTATGTAATTCTTATACAAATAATACCTTAAGGCAAATATTCTAGCCTCTATTCCCAAAGGAATTTCAGCTCCCCCACCCCTCAGAGGTAGAAATTCCAGATATCCTATTGCTGACTAAGGTCATATTTATTACATTATGAGTATTTCCAAATTCAGCAAAAGTGTGAGAATACTTATAAATAAGTTAATAGAATGATCAGCCTATGATAGTCATTAACATTTTGACCAACTAAGTTGCTGGGTCAGTGATAAATTTAATTATCTTTGATCAAATAAATTGACTAATGTAAGAATCTTTTCCCAAGTTTGTCAATAAATTATGCTTTGTAATAATTAATGTCTGATGATGGCTTATTTCCAAAGAACATTAATGATTTGTAGGTGCTTAAAAAATCTGCTGTTGAATTATAGATTAATTGACATCTAACCTTGATTTGCAAAGAATCAAATAAAAGCTATCACTTAGGCAGTCATGACATAATTTACAGAACCAAGTCACTAACATTGAATTTTTCTTTAATTATTATGTAGAACACAGAATACTAGGCCAGCTCAGCACATGCTAACTTTGGAGAAAAGCTGCTGTTTGTTGGCTATTTCCAGGATTTTTTTCCATCTAATTTTCATAGAATTTATCATTATTTGCTTTGCTTTTAATTACTACCTGCTGGATCTCTTCATTAATCAGTTTTCAAGCAATTAATTCTTTCATAAATAGAAAGTATTGACCAAATTAGTTAAAGGCCATTTCCAGAATTAGAGCATGGTAATTAATTTCCCGGTTTCTATGTTAATAAGCTGTCAGATGTTGTTTGTTAGGCATTGATTAGAGTCTGCCTAGGCCGTGCAAATTAACGCAGGCTTATTGGCTTTCCTGTTAGAAAAAGTAAAGGTGGGCTTTAAAGGGAAGGAGACAGGAGATAAAATCAGAGCCAACTACACTGCCGAGGAGCCACTATCTCTCTCTCCCAAAGATGTACTGTATTATTTCTAGTGACTGTCATAAACCCTTCCCTGCTGACTAAAACTTAGGTTTAGAGTATTTTCTTGGCTGCATGAATTCAACCAGGCATAGTTACACTTCTACATTAATTGCATCACATATAGTAGTATAATGTTAAACATTAGAGGATTTTTATGGTTTGGGAGTTTTTTTCTTTAACTTTGCTATGAAATAGTTAATGCTATTTGAATATACTATAATAGAAATTTACCAAAACTATATTATATAAATTATAAGATGTGAACTCACCTTAAAATTCTATCCCCTAACATAGTCACTTTTGTATAATTCCTTAATATTTTTACATATTCCTCCTCCTATTTTTTGCTAGATAAAGGAATGCAATGTTTCATTAGTATGTTAAAAGTGTTCTATAATCCATGGTTTTAGTTAATACATTTCCATGTATGAAATTATTTCAAGCAAATAGTAAAATATAGAGAATAGTAGAGAAAACTCTATTGTGTATTCTATCCAGGCTTAATATATGTAAATTTTTTTTTGTTTTTACTTGTAGCCTCTTTATTAATAAAAAAAACTTGTGGATTCAGGTAAATATTAACTTAAATTTTTGTAATTATTTCCCTTTGTTTAGAAATTTTCATACTCTGAATTTGTTGCATATTTTTCTATGAATATATAAGTACTTTTCCATGTAGGTAATTATATGTTAATCACATATAAGTGCACATGTAATTGATATTTACAACTCTTTAATTTTTTACATATTTTACTTTAATAGGTATTCCTAAATTGCATACAAAGCTTATGTATATTTATAATAAGTCTGTTAGAAGGCATAAGATTAAATATATGTATATGTATGCATATACGTGTATATTTATAAAGGTGAAATACATTTGTATGTGTATCTATGTGTTTATATATAATGTCATCTAATTTATTTTAATGTGCTACCAATCTAATGGGTATTATGATTTTTAATTTGAATTTTCCATAATAAATTTGAGTATATTGAAATACTTTTGTACATACGTGAAATGACAATTCACATCTCTTAGCCTGTTATGTTCTATAGAATTTTGTTTTGTTTTTGTTTTTTGTTTACTTTTAGGAGTGCTTTATATGTTCTAGATGTTAATTTTTTTGTGATTCTGTATGATAAAAATGTTTTATGGCTCATAGTTTATGAGCTCATATGAGCTCATTATGCCTCATAGTTTATTTTTGATTGCTTATTAATTTAAAAATATTTTAACTTTAATATAGCTAGCTTTATCAATCATTTGTGTGATTGTTTAACAAATTAATTTCCATTGTAGTATGTGTACTTCAGGACCGTTTGAAATTTTGCTTTACCTCTTTAGGTCTTTCATTTTTCTGGAATTATTTTGTGTATGGGGTGACCAGTTTGCATCCATTTTTCCCAGTTTATCATTTTCCATCCACATGGCCAGTTGTTCTACCATCATGTTGGAACTGTGAATCCTATTTTCATTGCCAATAATGTACCTCTGTCAACCACTCAATTTTAATAATTGTGATCCATTTGGGGCCTGTCTGTTCTGTTTAAATTAGTATTTTTAACTATCTCCTGAAGCAATGCCATGCTGGTTTAATCATTGTAAATTGAAAATGTGTCTTGATATTTCAGAGAACACATGCCTTTTCTTCTTTGAAATTGACTGATTTTTAGCACTTTACAGTAGCAATTCAGGATAGCTTCATGAAATTCTGTTCATAACTGGAATAATGTCTGGTACTCCATTAAACTTAATTTGATATTGAGGAGCAATAGCCACTCTTATAATATTGAATCTTCTGATTCATGAATGAATGCAGTGTATCTTTTCATTTGTCTAAGGACCTTGTATGTACTTGAAAGTTTCCTATTTAATTCATCATATTTTTGTTAGGTTATTAATCATATTTTTATTTTTATTGCTCTCACTAATAATATATTTAAAGCTACAATTACTAATTAGTTATTAATCAGATTTTTTATTTTTATTGCTACCACTAGTAACATATTAAAGCTACAATTACTAATTAGCTATTACAAGAGTATAAGAAAATTACTACTTTTACACATTAACATTGTACTTAGCCATCTTGAACTTTCATGTTAGTTCTAAGAAATTGTCTTTAGGGATGTTGGTTTTTTACATAGGAATTATCATATTTGTAATTGATATTGACAACTTGATTGTCTACTTTTTTGCTGTGGTTTACTTTCAAGGAAGGAACTATATATACTTGTTAATAGAAGCAGAGCTTGGAAAATTGAGAGAATAGTTAAGTGCTAGAATTTTAGTGCTGTAGGTTACAAATACTGATGTTTTCCTTTTACTTCCATCTATCCTATTATTAATCCTTTTCCCTACCATTTTATGTTAGAAATTTTACCTCAAACATTGTTTCACAGGTTATTTTCAGAGGAAGTATGTTAGGGTAATCATGAGAGCAAGCAGTAGCCCGTCCAAGAGCCGCCATGTTTCCGAGTGGCTGTCTGTGGCACACCAAGTGTGATTCCAGGGCACTGGGGATGGGATTTCAGCGTCTCATTTCATGTGTCCCAGTGATTTCTTTGTGTCTAGAAAAAGGGAAAACTTAGGGATTATCATATCAACTTGACCAAATATTTACTTTTGCTTCTTTATCAGGGCTTGAAATCTGTCTTTTAGAAACACATTTTTCTGGGATTTAGGGTTCATTTCGTTCCCTACAATATTTCCAGAAAAGGTAAAGCCCCATTGATTACATTTCATTATTTTAATTTGCTGTGCCCATTTGGGAAGGTTACTTCACAACTGTTCTCTAAACTTTGACAAGTAATGGTTGTCTCTACATCTATTCATTTGGCATCTATTTAATTAGAGTGTTTTGTAGCGTTACCAGGAAACTTTAAAGTATTGTAAAACTCTTGGATGCCATGTGACCTATTGCAAACAATAAATGTTACTTTTACAAACAAGTTGTTATCATCATTGACCCCAAATATTTAGGGAGAAAATAATTACTGGTTCTACATTCGCCCTCTCATTTACATCTAGTAAAATTTACCGTCAACCCGAGTCATTTTTTTCATATAACAATAAAAATAAAAATGCAATAGCACATTGTGCAAATAAAGTGATAGAATAAAATGGCGTGTATACACATATTGTATCATCTACATTTTAATGTTTATATATAGAATATTTATGTGAAATAATGGATTCTCATTGATATTTTTCTTTAGTTTGAATCAGCCCAAAGCAACTGGAAAAGCTGAATACATTTTTTTTGAAAAATGTCTGAAAGAATGGTAATGTTACCTAGTTAGCCCAAAATGTAAGAACCTAAGACTTGAGAAGAAAGGAGCAAGCATTGACATGAACTCGATGCTTTGCCACAATTTCCCCTGAAAAATTTTGTCTATTTTTAAGTGTTTGGTCCAAGGGGATAAGGAGAAAGAAGCAACTAAAGGTCTAAGTATATTAGTAATGTTTGCAACATTCTTAAGGGGATCAATTTGAAGTTGAGGAGTAACAAGGCAACCAGGACTTGTATAGGGAAAAAAATTCTAGATGGAAGAAGCATAAAGAGAACTGAGCTCCACATTTGGCATTGCTTTTCCTGGTGAGGCATTTTCTGACTCTAAGTAGAACAGGTCAAAAGCCTACAACCCAAGGAGTCAAAGCTGAGCAGCGGAGAAGCTGGATTGTTTTTCTGAAGCCTCACAAAGGTTAGAGAGATAAAACTTACACGTAAATATCCAATAAAGAAAATAGAAATTTGTAAACATCCAAAGTTTTCAGTGGAGACTCTGAATAGCTAAGTTGAACAATTCAGAACAAACCAAAAATAAATTAAACCTCACAGAGACTAAAGCCCAAGTTTGAAATCAGTTTGATTTGAAAAGATCTACTCACTTTAAAGCCTACTCTTAAGCAAAAAGCCTGCCCTTAAGCAATGATAAATCATCTTTTAAGGAAAATATTATCACCTGAAGGCTGTATAATTTTTAAATGCAATGTCTACCACACTATAAAGTTACCTGAGATGACGGGGTACAGAATCGAAAAACAAAGCAGGCATTAAGAATTGACTCACAGATCTACATATTCAAAGCTACATATAAAAACTGTTTTCCTAGCATCCATTGCAGCTCAAAGCAGCCAAGTCATCGAATTCTTACAATGGCATAAAAGCAGAAGTTGATTAGGCCCTTTGGGAGATGTGCTTCTGGAGAATTCTCCTGTTTTCTGAAATATGCTTATGATGGATTTGGATACTTTCTTTCTTTTACTACAATATGATTTTGGTCGTATGATTGTAGCTCAGTGGCAATGAGTTTACCCAGTATGTGCAAAGCATAGGGTTTGATCTCCAGCACTACAAAATAAACAAAAAACTAAAAGGTGATTTGGAGATGAGATAATAAAGATTTGAATGTAATAATAAGGGTTTATTTCTAGCCAAGAAACATACAATGAAAGAGAAGGGAGATTATTGTATTCATTCACTCAATCAAGAAATATATTGCAAAAATCTGCGCTCGATACTAAGGTTACAAAGATGAGTAAAATCTGTTTCCTGTTCTCAAAGAGTTCTAGCAGGGGAAGACAGATTAAAGAAAGTCACATATGAATTAATATATAGTAAGAGCTCTATAATATGTGCACATTAAGGCAATTAAGCTTTGTAGCTACTTAGATCTTGAACTTTCTTTTCTCTTGCTTCCTTGTGCATGTTTCACTACACTGATATTGGTAAAATCTAACTCTCAATACCTGTTTCCATAAACCTGAATGTGGCTGGAAAACATATTCAACACTGTTCTTAGGAATCTGTAGTTTATTCACTTTTTTATTCTCTTAGATAACTATTTTACTTCTCCTTTCACCTTTCATAATGTCTTTTTTACAACCTAACTTCTCTACTGCTTTCCAGCAACTTCACTACTTTCCTGGTCAATGGATGAACTTTCTTACTATTCCATTGAGAAAATAGAAACAGTTGGAAAAGTATGTCCATAGATTACCACTTCCCAGCATATATCCACATGTGCTACACCTTCTCTGCTACTATGAGTTACTTTTACTATTGCACATTCAGGGCTAACCCCTCCAATTTTATATTATTTCTTGAAAGTTAAAGACTTTATTGTTCCATAAATTTTCCCCCTCTATTTATTTTTCTTTTTCTCTATTTGATCATTCTCATAAGAAAACAAGCCCCAACAGATGTGTTATTCAAGTGAGGAACCGAAGCCAGAAGAGACCACATGATCAATAAGCACAAGGAAGACTCCAAATAGTAGAGATTAATCAACAAAAGAAATTGTGAGGGTAAAGGAGACATCTCAGAAAATTTCTATGGTACAAATGGTGGTTCATGATGAATTTGATACCTTGTCAGTATATCTTAATAACTTTCCCACGCTCCTGGGGCAGAGAAGGTAAGCCAGCCCCAGCACCTGGGAGGAGGCTCCCCCACTGCCATTCCATGCTCCTGGAGCAGAGAAGGTGAGCCAGTCCCAGCAACTGGGAGGGGGCTCCCTCACCTCCATTCCATGCTCCTAGGACAGAGATGGTGAACCGTGTGGGCGCCAGAAGCACCCCTTACTCCCCGGTGGAAATGAGAAGACATGTCAACAAGCCTCAAAAACAGACTTCCAGATCATCTACAGTATCCCTGAAGGGAAATGAGATGAAACGATCTGCAACTACATGGACTCCTTGAACTGCCAACAAAAGAGGATCTGGGAAAAAATGAAATCAGAAATAATTTCTCCGATAACAGCAAAGATTTTGCTCATAGTGCAAGACATGATTAATAAATCTAGAGAGGACACAGATAAAAAAATAGAGGATCTGAGAAACATGATGGAATCCCAACATAGGAAACAAATGGAATCCATAAAACAGATGCAAACAGATTTCAAGGAGATTAAA